TTGAGTGAGCTTCTTCGAATTGGGCGTCGTATCGCGTCGTGCATGCTTGCCAGCGTGTCGGTCACGGAGGGTTGAGAATGGTATGTTGTAAAGCTTGGCTGCAGCTCGGAGGCTTGATTTGCTATCGTTTTGAATAGCTTCAAGAGCCAAGATTATCCTGGCTTCCTTCAAAGTGGGAGGCATGTTGGGTTGTCGAGGAGATTGATGTTGAGTGTAGGAGGACGCGTCGCGCTAAGAAAGTGACCGACCCGCTGATATGACCGACTCGCTGATAAGATACGTTATTTCTTTCCTCCTCCTATTGCCTCCACTTTATATAAGCTAGCCCGAGTTGAATCAGTATTGTGAGGGACAAGTGGCATCAAGGCGAGGCGCAAGGGCACTGCAAATGCCGACTCAATTCTGCTAATCGAAAGCTGAGGAGAGGAAGAGGGAGAGTATACAAGTTAGGATGCGCGTCTGCGACGCGAAAAAGACAAGTGGGCGCACAGGCCACCCACCTGATGACCAACCGAATAGAGCATGAGTCCAGGGTGCGCTTTCCGTCACAAGTTTTAGTATAACGTTAGTTAGGATTTGAAAAATATACTCTACTACCTCTTCCTCTTCTTCTTCTTCTTTTTCTTCTCTCTTTTTCTCCTCTCTCTTTTTCCCCAACGTAACATGCATGCCAGAGCAAAGCACTCAAAGATGCCACCGCCTCGACTGCCCTGCCCCGTCCAGCACCGCAACCAAAATTTCACCATGGCCTATTCTGTTACCATGTTGGTCGGCATGTCAAGGCAGCACACAGTAATCTGTACGAGTTCTGCCAGCGCTAGTGGACTGGATGTGGATCAGAAGGGACTTGAGGACGACACCTTCGACGATGAACTGCCGGGATACTGGGACGTGCGCATGGACAGACGGACAGACGAAGCAAGACGAAAGTTGCGCAAAGAAAATGGGCGGACTACGCGACTGATCGTTGCGCTACCAAGACGGCGCAGGGACCCTGAAGGCGAGTTCTAGGAGCAAGCTATTTTTTGTGAGGCTCTAAGACGAATCCATGTTCCAAAGCGCGACCTGGAGCCATGGAGAGGAGGTTGGGTGTCTGAAGGTGCGTTTTGCTGTTGTGTATCCGCGGGTCTGTGCAGCATAGTAGAATAGGGTATAATTATAAATTTAAGCCGATTCAATGCATAAAACGGCGATATGGCCGAGTGGTCTAAGGCGCTGTGTTTAGGTATTTCACCAATCCGCAGTGGGAAACCGCGCGAGTTCGAATCTCGCTGTCGTCAAGCTTTGCTCGTTGAAGTAACCTTTTGATGTCTTGGTACTTCGTACGTCTGCACGTACGTACCTACGTACATTTCCACCTGTAATTACCTTATCGTTAGCGTATTTACCGCACTATGACATAGCGACTAGAGTTGTCACAAGAATCCAGTGTCAAGGCTAAAACTGCCTACAGTCTTTGAGCGGAACAAGAACTGCATTGAGCGAAAGCTGATGATATTCTCTGCACTCAATTTCTTCCATTAAAGGTAGGGAAACGGCTGTTGGAGGAGGATGAATCGACTGCAGTGGTGGAATCCCTGTCCGCAGTTTCGTGCTAACACCCACCAACCAACCAGTGGTCGACGAACTGGGAACTGCTCCTGGTTCTTCACCTCCGTCAGCTTTCAAGCTTCTCTCTTCCAAGCACAACCACATTGCCCGCCAACACCACCAAGACAGCTAGCTACCATCACCATCCTCACAAAAAGCGATTTCCCCCCGTTTTTTCTACATGAATTCAATTCCCAACGCTGTTTCGAACTCGGATTTCAAAGGGTCGCTTGTTTATTATTATTGTTATTATTATTAGTCTTACACCGCAGAGGCTTATGCCTCGCTCAGCTAGAGCCCTATGCGTCTCCCCTTCCTCCTCCTCCTGTTGGCCTCTCCTAGGTCCTCCGTCTCCCTGTCTGGCCCTAGATTACCCTCCTCATCCTGTTCCAGTTCCATCGCAAGCGGGTATTCCCGCAGCCGTCCGAGTCTCATGAGCCATGCGACAACTCGCGCCGCCTCTGAGCAACGCCCTAGCGCCTCTGCCAGGGCGTGTCTGTCCCTGAGCTGCGGTCTCCCCTCCTCCAGCTCCCGGTCCGGGCACCTAAGCACCAGGTGAGCCACTGTCTCTGGTGCTTCACCGCAGCGGCACAACGGCGTGGGTATTCCAGGGACTCGCCTCTTGAAGAGAAACTCCCTCAGGCCTATTGCTCCTGTGCGAGCCTGTGTCAGGAGTGAGCTCCTTGCCTTATTTAGCCCTTCGTGGGCTGCCAGCGGCCGTGCGGGGGAGTTGAGGTTGTAGAGATCGGCTGCCTCCTTGTAGCGACGCGGGCCCTGCGCGTCTGCGCGTTCCATTTGTGCCTTGCGGCGGGGGGTCGCTTGTTTCCCGTCTTTGTGTTCGATTTTACCGTCGACAATCCGGAGGTAGCGACCTGAATCGGCATCTGTTTCCATCTGGAGCAGATAGTTTGCGCGGTTTACCGTAGCAATTCCGATAAGTAAGTTTTGTCTTGCCTATCATTGCTTCCAATCGGTGTTCCCCTTGTTAACACTGATACAGCGTCAAGGTGAGTTCCAACGGACATCAAACAGCAGGCCCGGCCTTAGCGAGCCACCCGTACGTCAACCAGCACCGCTACGAAATTAGCGAGGGTGTGTGGCTCGACATAAGCCGCTGGGTGAGGCTCATGGAGGAGAACAAGAGCGCCGAGGGGTTCCGGCCGGCGTGCAGGTAGGTACAGTGAACTCTCCATCATATGACTATTACGCTGACTCTCGATAATGCAGTTTCAACGACGACAACTCCCACGTCACTGTTCTCACGCAGTCCGTCGTTCAGGACATCCTCTGCGTGCATCAGGCTGCCGAAGCTATCGAGGCGCGCCTTCCCGGCGTACCTTGTCGACCGCGGCAACGATCGCTACTATGTGATCATTGCCCTGACGCCAGAGTTCGCCGACGAGTTCGATGCTGCTTAGCAACGGTTGACAAAGGATGGTGAAGTCTCGCTCCGCTTCCGTGATGAGGATGGGGTTGGGGCCGAGCGAGCCAACGACGACTCTTGGTATGATGCCCAACCATATTGTGCTGAGCTCAGCTAACCAAACCCAGGAGCTGCGCCATTATCGAGCACCCAGCTTCCATCAACGAGATTGCCGTCAACCATCCTGTTGGGGATTACGAGCTTGTCTTGTCCGGCGCAGCCCTTGGCGGCACGAAATTCAGGCCCAAGGCGTTCACCACTCGAGGCGCCGCCGACAATGAGAAGCGCAGGTCTGGGGATTTGCGTTAGCACCGTGTCTCCTTTGTGTTTGCCGTTGACCTCAAGGATCTTGCTCGGAAGTTGGAATCGGCTTGCGTGTACCTCCCGGACGCCGCCCCGACCCACGCTCTCCCCCTCGAGCTTAGCCCCGAGGAGAGGGCCGAGCAAGATGACCGTATGGCACTGCATCGCGCTGCATCGCGCAGTCATGAGATACAAGGGGTTCTACGACTGGATGACCGGCAGTGGACCGTCTCTGCGGCGATTACCGTCTAAGAACCTCTTTGCGGTGCAGCACAAGGCCTACGCCGACGAACTGCTCGCCGAGTTGTTGCCAGCCGACCGCGATCGCTTCAGGAGGTACATGAGCGACAGACCCCTGGGTATCGGCATTATCGCAGCGGTTAGTTATTCTTTTTGATAACTTTTTCTTCCTCTTCCTCTTCCTCTTCCTCTTCCTCTTCCTCTTCCTCTTCCTCTTCCTCTTCCTCTTCCTCTTCCTCTTCCTCTTCCTTGCAACTACTAGCTAACGTTATTACTACTGTAGGCAGCTGGCTTTGGCAAGACCACTGTTCTAGCGACCGCAGGCCTATCCATGGAGGCCTCGCTCGGTTCGATCCTGGTTTCGGGCCCTACGGATGTCGTAGTGGATAACATTGCACGTCGTCTGGACCGCACCTCGAAGGAAGTCTGCGGTCGCCTCAACGCTGGCAAGACTGCGGGTGACCGAGCTCGCCACCGTATGGTCGTGCGGGGGTACAACATGAGACGGGAGGTCGAAGCCTTCATCAACCTGTGGGAAAACCCGGGCTATACCCCGACCGGCCGCAAGTCCAAAGACCCCTGGCAGCTGTAAAATTCGGTCGCCTACTGGCTGCTGAAGCTACTTGGCTTCAACGGAGCGCGTGTCGACCCCCTCCACCCCGACGACAAGGAGGCCCGGCACCAGCTCCGTGCAGTCTTTGAGCAGCGGGACGACCTGGCCCCTCTACGCGCGGTTGCCAGCGGCTAGATGACCTGGCAGGAGATTGCGGTGCATCAAGATATCGACACCTTGATGAAGTGCGGCAAGTGCCCCATTCCAGCCCTGGCCCGCGAGGTCATCTTGCTCGCCGACTTCCTCTGCACCATCCCAGCACATATGGGCAACGACGGTGACTACCAGCAGTGGTCAGAACGAGCTGCCCAGGGCGTGTTGGTGGACGAAGCCGCCAAATAAGTTGACCTGGACTTGACAAAGAGTAAGACACGTCGTGCTGACTACCAGGCAGCATGCACCGCGCCGACATTGGCTGCGTCTGGGGCAACTGCCTCCTCCCTTGCATTTTCGGTGGCGACCATCGTCAACTCCCGCCGGCAGTCTTGTCAGGAGCAGAGAAGGACGCGGACGGGAACCTGCGTAATCGCTTCGCCGACGACGGCAAGATCTCTGTCATGTTTGCCTTGATGGCTAGTGGGCTGCCGGTATTCAGGCTCCTTACGCAGCTTCGGATGGCAGATGGGCTGTTCGACTGGGTGGCCAAAGAGTTTTACAGCGAGGTGGACTTCACCTACTCCACCAAGTGCGCCGTCAATCTTCCGAAGTTCCAGGCCGGCCACCACCTGGAGCGTCTGGTCCAGACCCGGTACCCCGGCAGCGTCGCGCCCCGGCCACCTGGCAAGCTCCTCCCTGTCTTTGTGCTTTGCAACAATGCGCCGGTCTTTTTAGATGGGCGGACTGGGTCGAAGAAGAGCCCACAGCAGGTCAAGGTTGCCATTGACCTCGCTCATGACTTGCTGGGGATGGGGGTCAAGCCTGGCCAGATCACCATTATCTCGCCCTACGCCGCCAACGTCGACCTGGTGCGCCGCCTCCTGCGCAACGACCCACGGTACTCGGCGCTGAAGGCAATGGGCAAGCCCGCCACGGTCGACTCCTTCCAGGGCCAGGAAAACGACATTATCATCGTGGTAATGGGTACGCGGTTTTCGCATCCGGGCCCCGGTTTCAACACCGACCAGTTCCGGCTCAATGTCCCCCTGACTCGGCAGAGGCGTGGGTTGGCTGTGGTGGGGGACGTCGACATTCGGGGGACAGCTGGGAAGGGAAGGGGCCAGGGCAAGAAGGGAGGAGAAACTCCCTTCCATGTCATCACCCCTACGGGCGAGAAGAAATGGGTGACTGCCCCCCTGCTGCAGCGCATCTACCGTGCCTTCACGGAAAACCGCCGGGTAGTCCGTGTGGACGAGTGGATCTCAGGGCCCAGGAGCGGTCAAACTGGGGAGGCGAGGATGAGCTGGCTGACTCGTAGATTTTTTGTTGTTTAGTGTAAAACTAGACAGTTACACCTATTCTAGGTTCCTTCTATAACTTGTTCACTTCTTTCCAGTGCCGTTTACTTTTCTCTATCCTTTTTATCTTAATCTTTATCTTCTTCTTCCTCTTCTTCTTCCTCTTCTTCTTCCTCTTCTTCTTCCTCTTCTTCTT